AAAAATTATAACTTATTATAGTGTGGAGTTTATTCTTATTTATAACTATCCCAAATTGGGAATATAATTTTTTATGACTATGTAGAATTTATTCCAATATAAAGTATCACTATAAAGAGATTTCACTGTACTAGCTTTTTGAGATTATGTATGTATATCTCTTTTATCAATGTTACCTTGGATTTGACATACTCTATTAATTAATTATTAATATAATGTATATTTTACCCTTATACCATTTGCACTAAGGATAATTAAGTCAAAATAATAATTTTTATAAATATACCTCTATCAATTTATAATCTCTTCATAGTAATAAAATTAGTTTGATCCAGTATTATGATTATATAGAGCGGTTGTACTCTCTCTCTTCTCTCTCTCTCTCTCTCTCTCTCTCTCCTCTCTCTCTCTCTCTCTCTCTTCTCTATATATATATATATATATATATATATATATATATATATGATAAGGTACTAAGGTGTATAATAAATGTAAAAAAAAAAAAAAAAAAAAAATTTCCAAACTAAAAATTAAAGTTTTTATTTGATTTGTTTAACCTCTTATTTAAATAAAAATAAAATATTGAGATTGAGTTCCATCTTTTTTTTTTTTTTTTTTTTTTTTTTAATTCTTAGTTTAAACCCCTATACACCCGAAAAATATCACATACCACAATTCATTTTATGTCGATTGGATTTTGAAGTTTTTTTTTTTTTTAATTTTATCACATCCTACACCAAATTTTAAATTTTTTTTCGCATCCATACTCATAAATGGGGGCAAAAAATAAACGTTCCTAGAGAGAATATTTAAAATTAAGATAATAATTTTTCCATAAATTTGTTGGAATTCCAATATCTACCTTGGTGGATGCCTGGATGGTATGCAAGCTTCTTATAAAACAAGATTCTCCCTTCGATTTGGGATTTAATTTTAATAAAAACGTGAAAGGATTTTAACGAATATTTTTATCACATCGTTTTTTTTAATTATTATTTTTTTTTGCCAATGTAAAGAAGCGAAACCGATGAAGATCAACAAAGAAACTGTGAAGAGTAAAACAAGGAGCTACGATGGCTCTGAAATGGCAACAAGATTTTCACGATACCTGTACTCTTTTTCACTCTTTACAATTATTCCTTTCCATTATCACATTCATTACATTTTCTCTTTATTTGGAAATTTTGCCAGCAATATCTTTCTTCCCATTACTGTCATTCATTTTCATCTTCACCAAAAACCCCATTTTTCTTTGCTTCATCTTCTCCAAAAACCCCTTTCTTCATCAGCAAAACTCTTTAAAATCTCGCCATAGGTAAGTTCTAGTTCTCTTTCAAACAACACACACACACACACACACATATACATGAAAATTAGACTTGCAGAAGTTCTATAAAATCTTTAACTGCGGACAAAATGTCAGCTGTTGTCTGTTTATTATTTGCACGTAAATTGTATTATGCCACAGACCCGCTTTGGATCGTGTTTTTTTACGTGTCAGAGTGCATGTTGTTTGTGTTGGTGTTGCAGTTCTCTATGCGTTAAGATTGGTTTATTTATGGGTTTTTGTTTTTTTGTTTTCTTTTTTTGGATTATATTGATACACTAATTTTGATTAAGGCAGTGAAGAAATGAGAAAATTAATCATATTTGGCGTTATAATTGTGAGTCAACTGGACTATTGTTATTGTTAGAGAGGGTAGTTTCTTCTGTAAATGCATTTTGCCTACTTCTGAGGAGAAGGCTGGATTGAAAATTTGAAAATACAAAAAGTTTTGATTTAACCTTTCCCTTGAAACAGATTTCTTAGTTTAGATTAAATTATCTCAATTATTTTAGAAAAACTTTATTGCCTGTGATGCTTGCTTTGAGGACACAAAGAATCTGAAATTTATAAACAATCTGCAATGAGAATTAAATGTTGTTTTATATTCTTCGTTTGTTAGGATATTGATGTTTGAGGTCCAGCAAGAGGAAAAAATTGGTGGAAAAGAAAGATAAAGAATTTGTTTCTTTGCTTTTCCATATTCTCTTGGCAAAAATCATGTATTCTGGGTAAATTTTAAGTGGTTTGTCAAAATGAATGCATGATAAGCTCTGTATATCCTTAGTTTTGGTTTATTTAATGACAATATATAGCTGATCATTTAATCTATTGGTTTTAGTGATTTTTGTGAACACTTCAGTTCTGAAAGATCTGAAATATCTTGGTAAATTATGCTCTCTTCAGGATATTTAGGATTATAAAAGCTTTAAAAACAGCATGAGCACACAGGAATTAGGGCAATTCAGAAAGGGATGTCAAAAATGCTCAGAGGAGGAGAATTCTACCAGACCGGACCTCAACAATCCACCGCCTGATGAGAGCACGACCCTGGCTGACATATCCTTCAATTTCAATTCTCAACAGTGTCCACCTGAAGCGTGCCGAGGTTTCAAGAGGAAAGCAGAAGTATTGAGATCATTGATGATGATGTTGCTATAATGACCAAAGTGTTTGATCAGGTATAATATATAATATTCATGTAAATTTCTTTTCTGAGGAACTTTATTATTTTCAGTATACTGATTCATTTCTGTCGATGTTATTTGTTAGGCCAAGAACAATTATCGGAGAAACCAGTCTCAGGTATCGATGGGCTGAAAGATGTGCCTAATGAGGCTGGCGGATTGTTAAGTCTTTCAGGTAGCGTAAGTAAATGGGTTTTAGTCCATAATCTTTTAGAATCCATGTATATCATAAATGCTATCTGGCAAAAAAGACATTACTCTTGAGCGACTCTGATGAGAATTGTGTTCTTTAAATGTTGCTTGACGATTGTTATCTTTGCTTTGAAGTCAGTTAATTTGTTGTATGTTTGTTTCTTAATATTAAGATAATGCTTACTGGTGTGAATTTTAATGTACAGAAACGGCGAATTGTACTGCAAGCAAAGAAGAGATCCGATGGATGAAGTATTACTAGTAGATATCTTAGCAGATGGAAGAAGTAGTAACAGAGACAAGGTCATTTAAACAAGCTTATATAGAAGCTACTATATGCTACTTGCTTGATATTTTGTCATTATTGTGTCTATAGTATGTCATCGCCATGGCATTTTTGTTGCTTTTCTTCTGCATCTATTTATGCATGGGCAAAGATCATGTTATGTGCATAGATAAAGAATCGCTGGCATCAATTTTATGTGTTTACCATCTATACGGCTCAAGTGATTTAATTCACTCAATGGTCTTGCTTCAATCAAATATCTCTGATGCAATGTCAAATAAGGCCAATATAACCTTCTTTACTCTTCTGGATGTCGAAATTAAGAAATACCTTCATATTTCTGTTCTTTGCTTGCTTTTTTTCTGCAATAGATTTCTTCTAGGTGTGTTCATCTTATTTGTATCTTCCGCAGTTCATATAATCCATTAGAGATCTGGGAAATTTAGGAAGAAAAGACGCATCAGTGACAGCAAAGCTGAACTAACTCTATTTGCAGCTTCAAAAACTCATATTGTAAACCAATTCTTCCTCATAATTGCTTTCCATTACATAGATCATCATTTTTTTGCATTCTTATCTTCCCCTTAGTCAAAAATATAAGACTTGGACCAAGATGTTAAACAACATTATAATGCGAAATCTCAATCTATCTAGTACATTCCTCGTGCAGATTTTAGTTCATTTTATAGTTTTTTACTTTAACAGTTTAATCCTTGATTATATTTCATTACAGGAGAAGATGTGTGAAACCAGTAGAGTTTTGAAGAATCCTGAGCCCGAGGCGCCCAGTTTCATTTGTCCGATCTGCATCGGTCCAATGAGTATGGCAACAACAACAAAGTGTGGCCATGTGTTCTGCCAGGAATGCATAAGAAAGCCATTGCAGCTCAAGGGAAATGTCCTACTTGCAGGAAGAAACTTGGAAAAGAGAGCATCATCAGGGTGTTTCTTCCAACAACCAATTGAATGAATAAATCATAGGTAATGCCTTTGAATTAATGAGCAGCTTGTTATTTATTTGCTTGAGTGGTGATGACAGTCTTCACTTCCCTTTGGGCAAAGATATTGATGTTAAATAGAGGACTTAATAAGATCTTTTTTTTTTTTTTTTTTTTAAGATAATCTATAAGTATTTTTCTTAAGAAAATATGTATTATGTACATTAGTAAGAAGTATATAGAAATTTGACGAACTTTAACCTTGAAATGTTTTTGAAGTTGTAACCATGATACTTGAAGAGTAAAATTCATGTCTATGATACTTAAAGAGTAGAGTTCTTGTGGTATGAATTTAAATTAATATTTTCACCGACAACAAAAATCTCTATTGATTGAAAATTTTTGAATGCATTCAACCACCTAATGAGGTTGTGTATACATTGTGTGTGTACGTGCTTGGATACACGAGAGATCAATCATCTAAATTGTAACAAAAATTCAATTATTTTCCAATTAGAATAAGAGATTATCAATAGAAATATAGATATATAAAAATGGCATGAGAGATTTATAAGTATAAATGATGAAATTGATGTAATTAAAGATTTAAAGCAAATCTAACAATATGGTACCGGATCTATGGATTATTTAAGAAAATCATTAAACCAAGTGTATCATAATTTTATTTTTAAATTTTCAATACAGAAAAGGAATATAAGAGTAAAACATTCATAGTTCTATAATTTCAAACGGGCTTAGGCTTTGACCTGGCAGCGTAGGTTTAAAACCAAGACCGGCCCGATTGGCCGCCATACTCCAGCCCTATCTCTGGCATCTTTCCCAATTTAATCTTTTTGAATTTCCTCAAAAAGACAGTGGTTCTGCGTTCTAGTTCATAGAGAGAGAGAGAGTAATTGAGACAAAAATGGCGGACGCAATGGAAGTCTTACTTCTTTGCTCCTCTCGATCTCCACTCCATTCGCAGGTCTTTTCTATTCTCATACAACTTCATCAACTTTATAGCATGCGTTGATGTACAATTTCTTGTTGTTTGTGAATTTTAGTGGAAGTGAGAGAGTTGATGGAGATCCATAGAAGTAACGAAGACTTTGAACGGGAAGCCATCAGTACTGATTCGGAGAATTTACTCAAAGATTGTGCTCTTCACCTCGAGGTAAATTCTAGTGTTTTTTTCATTTAATTTAAATTTATCGGTTTTTTTTTTTTTTAAATTATAAGGAATTTTGCAGAGCAAAGTGAAGGAAATTATATCGGAGTGCTCCGATGTCAGTTTTTTGGGAATTAAAGATATAGGTAAACCCTCTTTTAACTTTATATTTTTTGGGTTTTTTATTAGATTAAAAAATAGAAAAACTTGTAAAATTATGAAGCAAAATACGTAATTGAAAAGAGGGAAAAAATTTAAAATTATAGTATGGAATAGAATAAGGAGGTGAAATTTTTACCAAAGAGGGCCTTGAGTGGTTTTTATTTTTTATTTCTTAATGGTGATGCAGATGCATACTTAGAGCATTTGAAAGAGGAGCTGAAGACTGTAGAGGCTGTAGGCAGTAAAATCTCTAATGAAATCGAGTCTCTTACAAGATCCCGTGTAGAAGGTGAGGTATTTTATATACCTGGGTTGCACATATATTTACACAATTTCGTACTCAGTATCCATGTGTGTGTATTTGAGTTTGCAGATTCCAATAGACTGGAGAGTGATCTTGAAGAGTTGAATTGCTCTTTGGATTTAGTTGCATCCCAGGTTGGTTCTTCATTGACAACAATTTTTTCTTTTACTATTTGTTTCAAACTAGTTCTTCTGTGGTTAGAAAAATAATATTAGCTCAAGCTTGTTGTTTAACTGAAGCAATTGATGATGGATTTTGTGTACTATTTAGTTGGGTCAGGGGAAGGCTATAGAGAATCCACATGCCGATTGCTCTAAAGATGAAGAAGATCAATCAGATATAATGAAAATTCATGAAGACCAGAAATTTGAGGTGTTAATCCTGAACATTTTTGTTTGGTACTTCCATGATTGGTTTGTGAATTATTTTTTATGATGCTTGTGCAAAATTATTTGCATCATATTTTCACTTCATCAAGAGTCTGGCATGTTTGCAAGAATTTCGAGTTTCAAGTTCATTCATGATGCTAAGTTTATTCTCACTGTATCATATTGTTTCTGGTGCTTTGTGTTTAAGAGAAATTTATGAGAGGATTCAGATAGAATTGTTGGCATGATGAATCTAAGTGCTAACCTGTGGAAACACAAAATGTTCTTAAACCAGTTTAGTGTGGAGCTACATAAATTAGATAGTAATTTTGTTTAATTAGGCCCCAAGTGTTTTTGAAAAATTTCTTTGGAGATTAATAGGTTGGAGACTATTTAAAATGTGAAGTATAGAGCAGCACAAGTGGTTGTGACGTAAAATCAATAATCCAAGTTTCATTATATGTTTAGGGAAATATTTTATTTAGGGATATTTCTTGTTTGAGGTATTTGGTTCTCTTGATACGATTTTCTTTTAAATAGCGTTTGCATAACTAATTTAGAGTAAATTTAGATTTCCTTTTCATTTAGGGCTTTTGTCATTATGAGTGGGCCTTATGTTTCTTTGTGGAGAATAGAAACTAATGACAGACATAATTATGATGAATGAATTATTTCTACCCCTTGCCTTCTCTAAATTCTTCCCTTTTCTGCAAATTCTTTCTCCTTTTTGGTTCTTTTTTCTTAGTTATTTATAGTTCATCCCTTTTTAATTTATACTCTTCTTATTCTTTTTCCCTCTCCTCCTNATTACATTTTCTCTTTATTTGGAAATTTTGCCTCAGCAATATCTTTCTTCCCATTACTGTCATTCATTTTCATCTTCACCAAAAACCCCATTTTTCTTTGCTTTCATCTTCTCCAAAAACCCCTTTCTTCATCAGCAAAACTCTTTCAAAATCTCGCCATAGGTAAGTTCTAGTTCTCTTTCAAACAAACACACACACACACACACACATATACATGAAAATTAGACTTGCAGAAGTTCTATAAAATCTTTAACTGCGGACAAAATGTCAGCTGTTGTCTGTTTATTATATTGCACGTTAAAATTTTTGTATTATGTCACAGACCCGCTTTGGATTCTGTGTTTTTTTACGTGTCAGAGTGCATGTTAGTGTTGTGTTGTGTTTGCAGTTCTCTTATGCGTTAAAGATTGGTTAATATTATGGGTTTTTTGTTTTTTTGTTTTCTTTTTTTGGATTATATTGATACACTAATTTTGATTAAGGCAGTGAAGAAATGAGAAAATTAATCAGTATTATGGCGTTATAATTTGTGAGTCAACTGGACTATTGTTATTGTTAGGAGACGGTAGTTTCTTCTGTAAATGCATTTTTGCCTACTTCTGAGGAGAAGGCTGGATTGAAAATTTGAAAATACAAAAAGTTTTGATTCTAACCTTTCCCTTGAAACAGATTTCTTAGTTTAGATTAAATTATCCTTCAATTATTATTAGAAAAACTTTATTGCCCTGTTGATGCTTGCTTTGAGGACACAAAGAATCTGAAATTTATAAAACAATCTGCAATGAGAATTAAATGTTGTTTTATATTCTTCGTTGTTTAGGATATTGATGTTTGAGGTCCAGCAAGAGGAAAAAATTGGTGGAAAAGAATAGATAAAGAATTTGTTTCTTTGCTTTTCTCATATTCTCATTGGCAAAAATACATGTATTCTGGGTAAATTTTAAGTGGTTTGTCAAAATTGAATGCATGATAAGCTCTGTATATCCTTAGTTTTTGGTTTTATTTTAATGACAATATCATAGCTGATCATTTAATCTATTGGTTTTAGTGATTATTGTGAACACTTCAGTTCTGAAAGATCTGAAATATTCTTGGTAAATTATGCTCTCTTCAGGATACTTTAGGATTATAAAAGCTTTAAAAACAGCATGAGCACACAGGAATTAGGGAAATTTCCAGAAAGGGATGTCAAAAATGCTCAGAGGAGGAGAATTCTACCAGACCTGGACCTCAACAATCCACCGCCTGATGAGAGCACGACCCCGGCTGACATATCCTTCAATTTCAATTCTCAACAGTGTCCACCTGAAGCGTGCCAAGGTTATCAAGAGGAAAGCAGAAGTATTGAGATCATTGATGATGATGTTGCTATAATTGACCAAAGTATGTTTGATGAGGTATGATATAATAATCTTCATGTAAATTTCTTTTCTGAGGAACTTTTATTATTTTCAGATATACTGATTCATTTCTGTCGATTTTAATTCTTGTTAGGCCAAGAACAATTATCGGAGAAACCAGTCTCAGGTTATCGATGGGCTAAAAGATGTGCCTAATGAGGCTGGCGGATTGTTAAATAGTCTTTCAGGTAGCAGTAAGTAAATGGTCTTTAGTCCATAATCTTTTAGAATCCATGTATATCATAAATGCTATCTGGCAAAAAATGACATTACTCTTGAGCGACTCTGATGAGAATTGTGTTCTTTAATTATGTTGCTTGACGATTGTTATGTTTGCTTTGAAGTCAGTTAATTTGTTGTATGTTTTGTTTCTTAATATTAAGATAATGCTTAAGTCTGGTGCTGAATTTTAATGTACAGAAACGGCGAACTGGTACTGCAAGCAAAGAAGAGATCCGATGGATGAAGTAATTACTAGTAGATATCTTAGCATGATGGAAGAAGCTAGTAACAGAGACAAGGTCATTATAACAAGCTTATATAGAAGCTACTATATTGCTACTTGCTTGATATTTTTGTTCTTATATTTGTGTCTATAGTATGTCATCGCCATGGCAATTTTTCTGTAGCTTTTCTTCTGCATCTGTTTATGCATGGGCAAAGATCATGTTATGTGCATAGATAAAGAATCGCTAGCATCAATTTTATGTGTTTACCATCTATCACGGCTCAAGTGATTTTAATTCATCTCAATGTTCTTGCTTCAATCAAATATCTCTGATGCAATATCAAATAAGGCCAATATAACCTTCTTTACTCTTCTGGATGTCGAAATTAAGAAATTACCTTCATATTTCTGTTCTTTGATTGCTTTATTTTCTGCAATAGATTTCTTTCTAGTGATGTTCATCTTATTTGACTATCCTTCCGCAGTTCATATAATCCATTAGAGATCTGGGAAATTTAGGAAGAAAAGACTGCATCAGTGACAGCAAAGCTGAACTAACTCTATTTGCAGCTTCAAAAACTTCATATTGTAAACCAATTCCTCATAATTGCTTTCCATTACATAGATCATCATTTTTTTGCATTCTTATCTTCCCCTTAGTCAAAACTATAAGACTTGGACCAAGATGTTAAACAACATTATAATGCGAAATCTCAATCTATCTATGTACATTCCTCGTGCAGATTTTAGTTCATTTTATAGTTTTTTACTTTAACAGTTTATAATCCTTGATTATATTTCCATTTACAGGAGAAGAATGTTGTGAAACCAGTAGAGTTTTCGAAGAATCCTGAGCCCGAGGCGCCCAGTTTCATTTGTCCGATCTGCATCGGTCCAATGAGTATGGCAACAACAACAAAGTGTGGCCATGTGTTCTGCCAGGAATGCATAAAGAAAGCCATTGCAGCTCAAGGGAAATGTCCTACTTGCAGGAAGAAACTTGGAAAGAGAGGCATCATCAGGGTGTTTCTTCCAACAACCAATTGAATGAATAAATCATAGTGTAATGCCTTTGAATTAATGATACAGCTTGTTATTTATTTGCTTGAAGTTGGTGATGACAGTCTTCACTTCCCTTTGGGCAAAGATATTGATGTTGAAATAGAGGACTTAACCAGATCTTTTTTTTTTTAAAGATAATCTATAAGTATTTTTCATTAAGAAAATATGTATATATGTACATCCAGTAAAGAAGGATATATAGAAATTTGACGAACTTTAACCCTTGAAATGTTTTTGAAGTTGTAACCTATGATACTCTGAAGAGTAAAATTCATGTCTATGATACTTTAAAGTGTAAAAGTTCTTGTGGTATGAATTTAAATTAATATTTTCACCGAAAACAAAAATCTCTATTGATTGAATAATTTTTGAATGAATTCAACCACCTAATGAGGTTGTGTCATATCATTGTGTGTGTGCACGTGCTTTGGATACACGAGAGATCAATCATCTAAATTTGTAACAAAAAATTCAATTATTTTCCAATTAGAATAAGAGATTATCAATAGAAATATGGATATATAAAAAATTGACATGAGAGATTTATAAGTATAAATGATTGAAATTGATGTAATTAAAGATTTAAAAGCAAATCTAACAATATGGTACCGGATCTATTGGATTATTTAAGAAAATCATTGAACCAAGTCTATCATAAATTTTATTTTTAAATTTTCAATACACGAAAAGGAATATAAGAGTAAAACATTCATAGTTCTATAATTTCAAACGGGCTTAGGCTTTGACCTGGCAGCGTAGGTTTTAAAACCAAGACCGGCCCCGATTGGCCCGCCCCATTACTCCAGCCCTATCTCTGGCATCTTTCCCAATTTAATCTTTTTGAATTTCCCTCAAAAAAACAGTGGTTCTGCGTTCTGGTTCATAGAGAGAGAGAGAGAGAGTAATTGAGACAAAAATGGCGGACGCAATGGAAGTCTCTACTTCTTCTGCTCCTCTCGATCTCCACTCCATTCGCAGGTCTTTTTCTATTCTCATACAACTTCATCAACTTTATCTATGCATGCGTGTATGTACAATTTCTTGTTTGTTTGTGAATTTTAGTGAAGTGAGAGAGTTGATGGAGATCCATAGAAGTAACGAAGACTTTGAACGGGAAGCCATCAGTACTGATTCGGAGAATTTACTCAAAGATTGTGCTCTTCACCTCGAGGTAAATCTTCTAGTGTCCTTTTTCATTTAATTTAAATTTATTGGTTTTTTTTTTTTTTTTTACTTGATATAATGAAAATTTTGCAGAGCAAAGTGAAGGAAATTATATCGGAGTGCTCCGATGTCAGTTTTTTGGGAATTAAAGATATAGGTAAACCCGCTTTTAACTTTATTTTTTTTGGGTTTTTTATTAGATTAAAAAATAGAAAAACTTGTAAAATTATGATGCAAAATACGTAATTGAAAAGAGGGAAAAAATTTAAAATTATAGTATGGAATAGAATAAGGAGGTGAAATTTTGACCAAAGTGGGCCTTGAGTGGTTTTTATTTTTTATTTCTTAATGGTGATGCAGATGCATACTTAGAGCATTTGAAAGAGGAGCTGAAGACTGTAGAGGCTGTAGGCAGTAAAATCTCTAATGAAATCGAGTCTCTTACAAGATCCCGTGTAGAAGGTGAGGTATTTTATATACCTGGGTTGCACATATATTTACACAATTTCGTACTCAGTATCCATGTGTGTGTATTTGAGTTTGCAGATTCCAATAGACTGGAGAGTGATCTTGAAGAGTTGAATTGCTCTTTGGATTTAGTTGCATCCCAGGTTGGTTCTTCATTGACAACAATTTTTTCTTTTACTATTTGTTTCAAACTAGTTCTTCTGTGGTTAGAAAAATAATATTAGCTCAAGCTTGTTGTTTAACTGAAGCAATTGATGATGGATTTTGTGTACTATTTAGTTGGGTCAGGGGAAGGCTATAGAGAATCCACATGCCGATTGCTCTAAAGATGAAGAAGATCAATCAGATATAATGAAAATTCATGAAGACCAGAAATTTGAGGTGTTAATCCTGAACATTTTTGTTTGGTACTTCCATGATTGGTTTGTGAATTATTTTTTATGATGCTTGTGCAAAATTATTTGCATCATATTTTCACTTCATCAAGAGTCTGGCATGTTTGCAAGAATTTCGAGTTTCAAGTTCATTTCTGACGCTAAGTTTATTCTCACTGTATCATATTGTTTCTGGTGCTTTGTGTTTAAGAGAAATTTATGAGAGGATTCAGATAGAATTGTTGGCATGATGAATGTAAGTGCTAACCTGTGGAAATACAAAATGTTCTTAAACCAGTTTAGTGTGGAGCTACATAAATTAGATAGTAATTTTGTTTAATTAGGCCCCAAGTGCTTTTGAAAAATTTCTTTGGAGATTAATAGGTTGGAGACTACTTAAAATGTGAAGTATAGAGCAGCACAAGTGGTTGTGACGTAAAATCAATAATCCAAGTTTCATTATATTTTTAGGGAAATATTTTATTTAGGGATATTTCTTGTTTGAGGTATTTGGTTCTCTTGATATGATTTTCTTTTAAATAGCGTTTGCATAACTAATTTAGAGTAAATTTAGATTTCCTTTTCATTTAGGGCTCTTGTCATTATGAGTGGGCCTTATGTTTCTTTGTGGAGAATAGAAACTAATGACATACATAATTATGATGAATGAATTATTTCTACTCGCTTTCTCTAAATTCTTCCCTTTTCTGCAAATTCTTTCTCCTTTTTGGTTCTCTTTTCTTAGTTATTTATAGTTCATCCCTTTTTAATTTATACTCTTCTTATTCTTTTTCCCTCTCCTTCTCCTTTATCTTTTTGTCTCACATTAGATTTGTGTACTGATGTAATAAATAGTTCATTTGAACTAGGCTTGTAGAAAGAATTTGGGGTTAGTTGGGAGAACTTATGGCAGCTCACTTTTTATTTCTAAATGTTGGAGATGCTAGTAGGTTTTCTATGGTTCCATGAGGGGAGGGCCCTTTAAGGGCTGCTTTTTATGATCTCTGTTATTGTGCTAGGATAAGATTGCTAATATGGTTTTATATTTGGTTTGTCTTTTTATTTATAATTGTTGATTTATGTGTAAGACAGATAGGAACATGTGTATATTTTTCTTTTGTCTATTTACTGGTGGGTAATAACCTGTTTTTGTATACCTTCCAGCTTTTAGAACTTGAAAGTGAGATTGAAAAGAATAATATAATTCTGAACTCCTTGCAAGATCTCGATTCTATGTACAAAAGGTAATTCATAGACTTTTGGGCTTTAATTATCTGTAAGTTTTGTATCTTCTACCTTTTTCCTTACATGCTTATTTTATGGTTATTTTCAGGTTTGATGTTGTAGAACAGATTGAGGATTCATTGACCGGTCTAAAGGTTATTGAATGTGATGGAAACTGTTTTAGGTTGTCAATGCAAACATATATCCCAAAATTAGAGGGATTGTCGTTCCAGCAAACAATTGAAGATGTCAGTGAGCCATCTGAAGTGAACCATGAGTTGCTTATAGAACTTGTAGATGGGACTATGGAATTGAAGAATGTTGAGGTATTTCATCCTTTATGTTTCTCACAACTTGAAATCATCCCCTTCATTTATATTCCATGTAATGCAAAGAACTAAAGACACTCCAACATTATGCACTTCTAGCCATACCAGTGAAAAATAAATCATGTCTGAGCTTACGTATGTCACGGAGAATTTGTGTAAAGGCAACCATCATTTTCACAAGAAGCCACCTAAGAATCAAAGAGCACTGCTATGAGTGTTAAAGTTTACAATAGCCCAATCTTTGGAACTTGTATTGTTATTCTTAGGATATCCATATTGACTAAATCTTTAATTTGATGCAGTTTCATATACCTATTGAGATCTTTCAATCACTAGCTTAAATATTTGAATTGGTTTTTTGGTCATGGTATTAGAATCTATACAAAATTTGGCTTGTTTTGTGGATCCATCTTGCTGGTTCTTGTGCTCTGTATGTTTTATTTTATTTTATTTCTGTTGGCCCTACTTGTGAGGGCAGATGTTAGCAAAATCTGTCATAGAATAAAACTTGTATTTAATATGCCTTCACATGCTTGTTGAAACACGAGTCATTATCTGCCAGCTTAAACTTTTGGATTGGTTGCTCCATCATGTTATCAGAGTTTGTTAGACACATTTCATAGATCATTCCTTCCCTTATTTTTATGCTCGATATGTTAGTTCTGTCTTTAATTTGGGCCTGCACCTTAGAGGGGTCGTTTGGAAATACTACATATGTGAAATCTTCAATTTGTTATGGTTTTGTATGCAGTATACCTCTTCAACCTTTCCACCAACTAGCTTGAGCTATTAGGTTGGTTTCCCCGTTAATTGTATGGGTGCATAGGGTGCCTTGCACTGTAGGATCTGGGGGATGTTTTGCCCATTCCTTGTTAAATTGTGATGCTTGGGGTCTTTGCTTGGGCAATAAATTATTAAATTGAAAGCTTTTTTTTTTTTCACTATAGACAGCTGCCTAGTTTAAAATAATTAAACATTCCTGTTATTTTCATTTTATGAGTATTAAGAGAAAAGCACAGATGGATGGATTTATATCTCTGCAATTTCTAGACAGATTTCTTGTGTTTTTATGAGAACTTTGGGGAGACTAAAAGAAAGTTTTAGCTATCTAAAATCTTTACCTCCTCTTGTTTTCAGATGTGTAGAGATAAGGTTTTGTTTTCAAAAATCATTTCATCTACTTACTCAAAGAATGTCATGTTTTGCCATTTTTTTCTTGGTTCTTTATCTTTAAGTCTTTCTTTAGGCCAATGAAGCCAAGTTTCATTATTGCAATCACGTCTATTAATGTTAGAGTCAGTTTCTTTTTCTTTGAAATAAAATAAAATACATATCCAAAAGATTAATTATTTTTGTCTAGACTGGCACTTGGAAGATGAATTTCTTATAGGAAAATTGGTAGGTGAAGATTCTTTCTCATTTGATGATAATAAAAAGTTTGCTATTTTTAATATTATTTGATTTTTTAATATGCAGTTTTGTTTCTTTCTTGTCATCTAGTAGTTCAATTGTTTGTTTCAGTTTCACAGGCATTCATATTCAACTTCTAATGTTGAAGAACAAATAATATCTGGTCAGACTTTTATAGATCTTTTTAAATCTTTTTAATGCTCATTCCAATGTCATTCAGATATTTCCAAACGACGTATACATTGGTGATATTGTTGATGTTGCAAAGTCGTTCAGGTTTGTTTTCCCTTTCAAGGTTTAATCATTGTTTCTCTCTCTATGCCCACATGCATTCCTTTGCTGTATTCATTTTTGTGAATCATAACATGAATAACTGAATTTACTTTTACCATCTTGCATATGCATTGGAAGAAATGAGTGGCACTTAACATAATTAAGGCTCATGTACCATGATCTTTCTATAATGTTTGAACGATGAACTAGTTCATAATGTAAATGTATTGTAGGTGATCTTTGGGTGTTGTTGGATGACATGCATATAGTTTGAAAATATATTGCGCTTTGATTTTACTTAATCAATTGGCATCATCTATAAAAGGATTAACAAATGTTCATCTGATATGTCAATCAAATACTTATCAACTTGTGTTAGTCTAGAAGGAAAGTTATCACTCAAGGGGCTTCTATATATAGATAATGATTGTTTATCTGTTCATAGCCTCATTACATTGAAGATCTTGCTGAACTTGTTGAATTCTCAAGAATATTTTTACTAAAGATAATTGTGGATTGAAGCCAAATGCTCACTGTAAATACCAATTGCAGCTGTGAACTATTTGGTTCTCTTTAAATATATATAGGGGGCGTTTGGTTGGGTGTTATGTGGGATTACTGGGGTTAAGTCATCTTATATTACTTGATTATTATGTTTGGTTGTCAATTAATATAAGATACCGATAATCTTCAAATAGCAATAGTGGTTATTATTGGTAATATTGGAGATAATCTGATTACCTCCATTTTCTTAGATATTCTAAGATTACCAGGGTTATCTTTTTTTATTACAATTCTATTCTTTATTAATAAAATTTTAGGACAATAATGCCCTTATTTTTAAATTTATTTACATAAATATGACTTTTACTATTTCACCTCAATTAATTAACTTTTTGGACAAAATTACCCTTAAATTCAAAACAAATTACAGTCCACCCAAGCCACGACCCTCACCCACCTGCTGCCGGCAACCACCGCTGCGGCCAGCCACCGCCGGAACGATGCATGGAAGGCCGAAAATGGCCGCCGTGCGCCGATATGGCCATTTCCTGCCAGACTAGATCGTGCCAGATCTGACCTTTAACGGCCACAGCCGTCGACGGCCAGATCATTTCTGGCCGGAAATGGTCATACGGCGCACGAAGGCCATTTCCTGCCTTCGGTGCGTCGTTAGGTTGCCGACGGCCTGCGGTGGTTGCCGGCAGTGGCTGGGTTGGTGGGGGTGCTTTGTTGATTTTTCAAACTTTTATTATGCGGTTGTTTTTGCTAAGTTTTTAAATATAGGGGGGTTATAATAATCCAAATAATAATCAATATAAAAAAATAATATAATAATAATATTTAATTAGAGGACAATTCAGTAATTTAAATAACATATCCACCAATTTATTCCTCCCAACCAAACATATTAATATAACATACCCACCAATTAACCAAACACATTTTACTAAAGATTCCTAGAAATCTTCAAGGTAATCTAATTTTCCAGTAATCTAACATTCCCAGTAATCCAACATTCCCTGAACCAAACGCCCCCATAGGGGTAATTATTATGACCCCTTGAGTGATCTTTAAATTTTAGTGCTAACAACCATGAATAATTTTTTACTGAAAACTTTCCCATTTAGGAGGGGTTTTAATTGTTCTTGAAAACATTGGGTGATAATGATAATTCAATGATCTCTTAGGGGAATCCATAATGAATACTCAAATATATATTTGTTGTCAACATACATATTAGGTTTTAGAAATATAATTGTTTCAGGGTGCTATGATTGCTTTCACTGAATTGCAATTTATTGAAGGTACTATCTTATTTCTGTTTGGTCTTCTAGTAAGAAGAAAATTATTAAAGTAGATTTTAATGCTTCTGTAATAGGCCTCCAATTGATACATAAGATATGAGACAGTTGTTTTGGCTTAAAATATCCTTATGGATGGAAGGTTAAGATCATAAAACCATTTTGAGGAAACAGAAATTTCTTAACCCTCCCACTACCAGTGAAGCAGAAGCAGAGTTTGTTCCCATTTTGCCCACAATTTTAATATCTATGGTCCAGGATTACCGTGAGTGTGTGCTGTTTGTTCCTTATCTTTGATAGTAATATTGGTTTGTATATGTTTATAAATATGGCAATTTATGCTGGGTGTGTGTGTGATTATGTTGTATTTGCTGCTGGGAGTTTTTAAAGTTAAGATCATGACTAACACCAACAATAATGTTATTCCAAATTAGTGAAATAAATTATAAATATTTGCGTCATTACAATTTTAAAGATGAACTTCAACTGTAAAGATAATATAAAGAAAAAAAAAGTGACTAGGTTATTGGTTACCTCGTTACGGTAGTATGCCCCAATGAAGGGTTATTCCATGATATGGGTTGGTGTTAGTCCAGAAGGATTTGGACAATTAAATGAGGGTTTATGCACACCCAATATCAGTAATGTATGGTGGAGACTTTTCCAAATAATAAAGGTTTTGGCTTAATCAGCGATGGACAATTTTCTGTTACTTAAATAGTATAGTTTGAATAAAGAATAACTGTAAAATTTTTAAATTTCTCGGCAGTTGATTGTGTAAGGAAGTTTTCTTCTGTTTTATATCTCTCTCCTTTTTCCAGCTCTTGACACTTTAATCACCATGTCATTTGCTAAAAGTCACTAGTTAACCTTTTCAATTCACTGTTATTGGATAGCCCGTTTCTGTAGGATCTCCTAGCTTAATGGGTTCTTTTAGGTTGCGTATTCGAATTTTTTGCATTTGCTGGGTAATGGTTAGACAACAACAAATTATTGTGGTCAAGTTTTGGACACAAGCCTTTGGTGCGTGCAATGGACCAAGGTGGCACCTTCTGATAGATTTATTCCGTATAAACTATATAGAGTTTATTTGATGGATCAGTATATTTTTTATTTTGGGGAGTTAAAGTAAGAATTGTTATATACATGCAAAGAAAGATAGTTTATACATTCTTGTTGAGTGAGTGGTTACTGTATGTTTGTTATCATCTCATTAGCATAATAGTTGGATTTGCTAAAATGAATTTGACAGACTATATGTACTGCTTGTATTGGCTTAATTTCATTGGAACACAATCTATTTAAATGATGCAGGCAGTTCCATTCACAGTTTGCAGTGCTCGAGACAGAGTCTTCATTGCAGTGGTTTGTAGGAAAAGTACAAGATAGAATCATTCTAAGTACTCTGAGACGATTTGTAGTGAAAAATGCCCATAAATCAAGGTGACACTGTTATATCTGTTGGTAAAATTTATATAGCTTCATTTTTTTGAATTATTTAGTCAGGTATCAGAAGATAATGGTTGGTATATTTGTAAAGTTATTCCTTAAAATAAAGTGTCTTTATGCGGGTATAGTTCAACATGCAGGCATTTCTTTGAGTACTTGGACAGAGATGAGATGGTTGTGGCTCATTTGCTTGGAGGAGTTGATGCATTCATAAAGTTATCTCAGGGTTGGCCACTGTCAAATTCTCCATTGAAATTGATCTCTCTCAAGAGCTCAAATCATCAGTCAAAGCGAATTTCTCTTAGCTTTCTTTGCAAGGTTGAGGTGAGAGGAATTTTTCTCCATAACTGCTATAGAAAGATATCATATTTCAAGAATTTCAACCTTTCTAATGGTGATTTTGTTGAAACCGCTCTTATAATATTAATGACATCTAACATAGATGGAGTGGATGTTTCTGAAAGTGGGAATGACTTGAACTTGTGAATTTATAAAGTAAGATCTACCAGGATCCTTAGTTTTTTGCAGCTGAATGTTCCAGTAAATATAAGTAGATATCTTCTTTGAAATTTCCAAGAAATGGTGGAGGAGAGAAATTTTTTGAAAGGATCAATGACTTGCCTTTTGGTTTGCGAGGCAACTTTTGCATCTGTTAAAAGTTCCATTGGTTTTTGTTATTCTCTTTCAGAATGACTATATTTACTTTTGCATCTGTTAAAAGTTCCATTGGTTTTTGTTATTCTCTTGCAGAATGACTATATTTACAATTTTCGATGTATATGATGGTGCATTTGATTAAGATTCCTACCTCTGCATGTGCCACTTGCAGATTATTGCTGCTCTAGATTCTTCACCTTACCTATTGTCTGGTCAGACCTAAAATGGGATGATTTTGCGGGATGAAATTGGCTTCATGAAACTTGTTTTTGTGTTGGCATAGGGGAAGTCATCATATATTATATTTTTAATATTATGAAACCCTCATAATTGCTCTTCTGTATTTGAAATATCTACATGTAAATTACTCATTTATTGATTCTTTTGTTCCTTTACTTGATTTAAATTTCTCAGGAAGCGGCAAATTCCTTGGACTTACCAGTTCGACAAAATTTATCAAGCTTTGTTGATGCTGTCGAAAAGATACTTATAGAGCAAATGCGCACAGAACTCCATTCTGATGTTGCCCCTGGCAAATGAGTGCATTGTTTATCCTATTCACCACTTGGTAATTTCGAATATCACTTCATCTATAATTTGAAATATGTTGCATAATTGGCTCAAATTCTGTAAAAAATATCACCAGTATTAGACAAGTCAATGCAATTTGGCTTCATGTCTGCATATAAATGTTTGTCAAATTTCGTTCGAGCGGTCTTCGTAATAATTTATAATTTTTCATGTAAAATCCTTCTACGGAACGCTTTTATAAACATGTAAATCTCTTGTTCAGGAAACTATTGAAATTTGTTCCGAACAAATTACTCATATCTAAGTTTTAGTTATTTTATTTTTCTTATTTTGATTAAACTAGATAACATAATGGCTGTAACAGTCACAAAAATGCGCCTTGATTCGCAATTTAAAATAGCCTTTACGAACACCGTTAATTCTTTATTTTTATAATTTTTTTTAATAAACCTTGTGTGTTTAGCCTTTTTGTACTGAATAGTGAATACCCATTGGTTACAGAAATCGGACCCCAACCTTAGTGTGTTTGGCATTTTATGTAGTGAGCACCTGTTTGGTTTGGAAATGTGATCCTAATTCTTATGTGTTTGAACCTTTTTTTTAGTGAGCTCCTTTTTAGAAATGCGATCCTAACTTTCAATTTTAGTTGATCGTTATATTATTCTATTTAAATTTAAAGGAAATGACATTTTTATCAAAATTTGTCAATAATGTTGAGAAGTTAATATATTTTTTAAGGGTTATATTAATAAAATTGTTGATAAATTTGAAGATTGAATTGATAATATTTTGTACTAACTTACTAGTACAAAAGAGGCCAAGCATATGAGGATTACGATCATATTTCCGAAACTAACATATGAAACTATTGAGTGTTTGTTAAAAAAGTTCACGCACACGAGGATAACTATAAAAAAAAAAACCTTTTTATTATAAAAGTTTTACAGCCTTTTAACATGGGAAGGCTGTCTAATGTAGTTTAATACTGAAATGAGAACACAAGTGTGTGGGTTGTTTGGACTTTGGAGCAATTGATCTCCACTCCACCTATACTATAGTCAGTTTTTTGGCGGATCAGTTCATTTGGACACCAATTAGAGTTTGGGTCTTACCGGTAAAATCCATAAATTGGACAATTAAAAAACCCAATCAACTTTATTTCTAGTGCATTTGCCCTAACGTCGAGGTTTAGTAAGTGGGGGTGTTAGCAAAATTTAGAGTTTTAGACCCAGTAAAGCTCTTACCTTTTTAACAATAGTTAGAACAAGTTACCTTTACATAATTTAACTATTTGAGGTATGATATAATAACAAAAACAATTTTTTCGTTAATGAGCTGTTAGTGATTTATTAAATTATCTTTGATATGAGTTAGCAAGTGTTATCAAATTGTTTTCTTATTATTTATTTTAATACCTATAATTTAACGACGGAAAGATTTATATTATTCTAAAATTTAACTATAAAGGGACCTATATTATTTATAAAACCCTAGGGAGATTTTTTTTTTTTTTTTTGTTTTATCATATCTGAAAAAGATTATTGTCATACCCAATGTTTTAAAACCTGGTCCGGCCCGGCCGGTTGAACCGGGACCCAGCTGATGAGCCGGGTCGGGTGAGCCTAAAAACCGGTGTTTTTAGTCTGTCCGCTGGCGCCCGCGGTTGGATCGGTGTACTGTAGCACACACCGGTCCAACCGTCCATTTTAAAAATTCTGGGTCAACATTTGTAATATAAAATAATTAAATTTAATAATAAAAACTTAAATAGTAAACCCCAATATCATTTCCTTTCCCTCATTCACCACACACCACCCCACCCCACCCCACCACCCCCCCAATTTTCACGCGTCCCACACTTTGCTTTGAAAGTCTGAACTCTGAAGCTTCACTCTCACTGAACTCTGAAAATTACCGCCAGAGTCTTCCCTTCACCGTCGAAACTCGTCGCTGCAGCCTTCACCGTCAACGGTTTGCTTCGTCATCAGCTGGGGTGCTGCTCATTTCGCGATCTTCTCTAGCGTCCACCCTTCATCACCGCTGATCTACGCCGTAATCCATCGTCTTCATTCTTGATTCTTCTCGGAGCTGCACAGTGCATAGTCGATCTGGATCTCGGAGCTGCACGCACTCTTCTTCACATTGCTTGAATTTGACTCAGCTCTTTATAGTTGCCCTGTTCACAGCCGAGCTCCACCTCCCCGACGGGCAACGAACGGCAGCTCATCTTCACCAACAGGTAACTGTCACGGTGTAGACATGTCTTTGTTTTAGCCTTTAGGTCTTGTACATGATCAGGGCATTAGGCCTGAACCGAAATGGGAAGCCTTCATGGTTTGTCGCTTCATTAACTACCAGTTCCTGTAGTGCTTCCTTAGGTGTAAGGGCTGAAATGTTAGGATCTTGGTTGCAGAAGAGGTCTTGGAATGTTGATTTCTTCTTTTTGGCTTCTTGATATCATTTGTTAATTCCTGCTGAGGATATCTGTAAATATTTCAATCAAACTGCATATGTTGATTCTCATGCATCCTTCCTCTTTAAGCTTAAAACAAAACCAATTCCTTTTTCCAGGCATAACGACAGTGCTAGCTGTCTAAAGCTCTTAGTCCATGTCATTGCTGACTCGGTTTGCACGTCAGCTGTAGATTGCCATGCTATCACTCTTTCTAAATGGTGATTGGCCTTAATTTTCTGGATGATATGGGAACAGCATAAAAGTATAACTCATTAATAAACTTACAAAAAGGATAAGAAAACACCTCTTGAGTTGGAACATGAAACAAGTGACAGTTTAACTCTAAACACCCTAGGACTGTCCAATAATATCAACAATTTAATTTAGGGTTTAATAACATTAATTTCCTTTGACATATAATAAAATAATAAAAATCGCTCTGAGGTTTCGGAAATAATAGAAATCTTCTTATCTTTAAGTTTTAGATGTTAGAATAAAAGGTAAATGGACAATTTGATTGACTCATTAACAATTCATTAACGGAAAGGGGATTATTGTTATTTTATCATACCTCAAGGGGTCTAAATTAAACTCTGTTAAGTATAACTAAGGTTTAGTATCAATAGAATACATTTTTTCCCCAAAGTTTAGAAAAATTTGGGGAAAAAATGTAGTATGTGAACAGTATTTTGATGACATCATCAAATTACTGTTCACCGATTGAACCAACTGGTTCAACCGGTCGACCCGGGACCCGGCCCTCTTGCCGGGTTTTATCCCGGATCGGTTTTTAAAACATTGGTCATACTTCAAAAAGGGTTTTAAGTAACGTGTAATTGTAAATGTTGAAATGACAAGTATAATGCACTTGAACTATTATTAGAGTGTCATTGCTTCTTCAAAAACCCTTGTGTATTTAAAACTACATACAAACCTAGAGAATTTGAAATTGTTGATCCATGAGAAACCTTTTTTTTTTTCAAAATAAATAAATAAATAAATGAAGCACTAATGTTTAACAATTTTGCAATAATTCAATGATTCCTAGATAGCTAACCACTTCAGATATTTGTTTATTGTCATTAATTTTAAATTGAACTTTAATAGAACTAGAAAAATTAATAAGATGAAAAACTGAAAAAAAAAAAAAATTGAGGGAAATTTATGAAAATAATCAAATATTCACCTTTGCAAATGCAAAATGGCCAATTCCTCACTTTCTCTAATTCCTTTCTCTTTCTTAAACTCTTTTATCTCATTTCATCTCTTTTCTCTGACTGATATTGACAAATACTTCATTTTGTGAAAAAAAAAAAAAAGAAAAAAAAAAAAAACTAGTAATTCTGTTAACCAAAGTTTCTAAGAAACAAAAAATCATGTTTTATGATTAATATCAATTAAAAACCCCCATTCTACCAATATATATAAAACCCTATAAGATTTACAAGTAATCTAAGTTAGCTAAAACATCTACCGCTACATGGTTATCTTATAGATAAAACATGGAATAAATGAAAATTACATCCCTTCTTTGGAGCAATCTCAAGAGTTATAATAGCTGCCACCATCTTTGTGACACAACCAAAATAGAATTGCTTGGCAATTTCCAAGTACGAGTACGGGACAGGTAGTGGTTTCTCCAACCCTAGACACCAAAAGTAATCCCCAAACTCATCCCCATCCCCGAAACTTTCCCCGCTCCCAACTACAACCCATAAATTTTCCAAGTAATCCCCGTCCAATGGGAGCGGAAAAACCCCGCTATGTTTTATGAAAAATACTATCCTTATAAAGACTCACATAAAGAGGGTTACAAAATGACATCAGCAAGAAGAAAAAAACAAATAAAAAATGGAAAAGAGAGAGAGAGAGAGAGAGAAATCATAAAAATCAAAGGTAAGGATTGTCTTTGTATGCCCCCTTTGTATGTGTTTTTGTAAAACTAGCATTGCTCATGTTTTATTGCCATCACTAGTGACCCAAATTCATTTCAGAACCACCACAAGAAAAAGCACCTTGAAATTATAAAACACTTCCACAAAAAGCCACCAGAATATAATTACCTTAATATAAGTTATCCTCTTATTTATACTAATTCACTGATTCGTAGAAGAGTAGTTGACAACTTTTGATTTACTTTTGTTAACTTTAGCATACTTCAAAATCACATGACATTTGAAGTTTGAAATTTGAATTGCATATATTCCCTGCTTTATAATTCAAGACAGTTTCAATAGTTCTACAATAATATACGAAGCTCATATCCATATTTCAAGTCAAAATCTATAATTCATAAGAATCTGAACCCAAATCAACATGCTTCAAAATCACAATCCATTTGAAGTTTGATTTGCATTCATTCAGTGCTTATATATATGTGGTCCAACCAATATCTTATGACATCAACAAACAAAAGATTGAAAGTTGCCTGAAAGAACAGAAATTCCCTCCAAATGCTTTTGACATTTGAGTAACTTCATCAGAAACAAAAATACTTACAAGATACCATGTTTCATTTCCTGAAAAGCATGAAAAATGATAATCAAAGAGAACATATATGATCTAGACCAAACACAATCTAATATCATATAAGAATGCTTCACATGAGCCACTCTCATTGCACACAACCTTATTACTACATATAAAAGCGCACAACAAAGTAGAAATCACAGACTAGGTTAAAGCTTCAAACTGTCATCTGTAATGTCCATATACAACTAATAACACTTTTATTTGAACTAAAAGCAATAACAAGTGAAAGAAAATGTATAATCACGGTCAGATCACATTATACATAGCAGGATTAATATTAATATATTTTGCAAAAAGAAAAAACTATCTAGTAATTTATTATTTCACTAAACAAATAAGATTTTCAGCACATATCTCTACCCAGAGAAAAAATAGCTTCCCTGAATCCATCAATTGTTTGCTACTGTGTTTTGTGCTTTGCCTAACTCTTTTCTTGCGAATATGAAGCTTGCCATAAATGTCAAAGCATTATGACCAGGATAACACCGAAACAAATTTAGCCTATTTGTACAATTTTCTTTTACAAAATAAATACAAGTGTCCAAGCTTACTCAACATAGTGACCAGAAATCTCATCATCGACCCCCTCGTGTTGCAGCAGGAAGAGGTTGAACAGCAGCTAGAGGGTTCACTTGGTATGAAAAGGCCAGCTGCCACAAGTCAACCAATGCCTTCCTCACTGACAATAGTCGTCTTCCAACAGTCCTGAATTAATTAACCAAATAAATTTAAGAAAATTATATCAATAATGGAGGAAAATTGGGAACCAAAACCAGAATGTAAACAAAAATTGTCTACACATATATTCTTTTTGACCGAAATTAAACATAATGAAAGATGTGAGTTTTTATAAAACATGATTTTCCTTATTGATAAATTATAAAAGATTATATAATGAAAGTTAATTTAAGCACAAGACATGTGCACACTATCATTAATTATCAACACTTCACAACTAATTAATTTAGACACAAGGCTGTGAAACGGGCAAGTCATTACATATCAACACTTCACAAATTAATTAATTTAGACACACCTACAAAGCTGAGAAACGGACTAGAGTTCATCCACAGAGTGATATAGGGACATCACCATTGAGTATTTCAGGAGAGCACAAAACCCAAACTATAGAGTGCATAGCAAATAAATTTTTTATATCTAAGTAGATAAGTTTTTCTAAACCCTGTCCAATTCATCAATTAAAGGTTCATTCAATTACATCATGTGGAAGCATGTCTTTTCAACCTAAGAGAGGGCCATAATTTTTTTTCTGTTTCACTGTTTACATCAAATGACCAGTTTGACCCCATACTAAGCAGTGGCAAGCTGTAGTTATGGAGCAAGTAAGATGGTAAACATGAAGAAATATTGATGCTTTTCGTGACCTACAATACTATAGATATGCATGAAAGCCAACAAGAAGACGTTGTCTTACCTCTTCATAGAAGCTTGTTTCCTCCTGAAAAGATAATATGCAAGAACGATCAAACAGCCAAACGCAACATTCCAGTTAGATATGACCATCCGAACATTACCAAACTTCAAAGTGATAGCCCGGAACCACAAAAAACAAGGGTATGTTTGTCTAGAAAATTTCAAAAGAGCTTGTTTTGTAACATTCTCTCCACTAGGCAAGTAATTAGCATTTAAGGCTTTTGAAGACCTCTCTGACACATTTAGTTTTTTTAAAGAAGATGAATGAACTTCATGGAAATCTTCCGACAGCAATGAGGAACCTTGTGACACATCGGTGGCTTTAAGAGAATATCGGGAGTGTAATCTTCTTAAAAGAACCTATAAAAGACATTGTGTATAAGGCACGATATATATTCTTTTGCACTAAGAAAACCAAACAATGTATATGATAGTTTAATGTAATCTACGATCTACATAAAGTAAATCAGTAAATGCACATGCATATCATTCAAGTTAAATAGATATAGATCTACAGAAAACAATTTCTCACACTTGAAGTTCCCATCTCAATGAAATTATAGACACGCCTTCAGGCTCCTGATGGTCAAAATTTTATTAGATAATCAATTAAAAATTTGATTTAGAGATGTTACTTAGTGTTGTTCTACAATTACCATAGACTTATATGTCTTGGAGACACACAAAATGTTAATAAATTTTTGGTTAAAATCACGATTGTGTAATTTCATTTTTCCCAGTGTTTCTTCTCTTACAGCTTCTCAGCAATAAACTGAAGCACCTAGTAGACCAGATTACTTTTCTTTCAAGGTCCAAGTTCAACCATCAATTACCATCCAAATTCTTTTTAGGCTAAAAGCCTTTTCACATGCAAAAGTAAAGGAAATGGGCCAAGTTTAAGGGATAGAATGGGTTAAGTTTCAGGGATAGAAGTCATTTACTATCGCACATGTGTACCAGAAAACTAATTTAGTCACCAAATGGTCTTTTGCAATACTATACAGTGATGTGTTCCATCAATGTTCAACATGAAAAAGCTCTAAGAGACTACACGAATGACAAAATTGAACACAATGCTTTCAAAGTGCTAATATAATGAATGACGACCACCAAAAATTAATTGTTATCACTTATTTTTAAACACTAAAGAGACTAATTCCATGTTATCAATCAGGTCAATATCCTCCTATTTTACCCTAGCAGTGAAGAAAGGGAATCAACATTATTAACATTGAAGTATGACAATAAAAGAACACTGGTAAGGTGCAATGTACTAGTAGAAAGAAAACCTTCAGAACAGTCACAAACATATCATATATTTGGCATAGAATCAAGAAAAATAGTTACCAATGAAACATCACCAGGGTGTCACAGATGGAAAACAAAAGTTTATATTTTAGTAACCAATCAATCTCCATAAAGAAATCTGGTTATCAACGATATCACAAAGGTATCAAATGTGGGAAACAGAATTTGGTATTTTAGGCACCCATAATTCCCAATACAGCTCTAGGAAAATTAGATTTTTAATCTATCTTAGGTGCACATGCACACACTCACGCATGTATTTTAGATATGACCAAGAAGTAAACCAACTTCGGCAATGCATCAGTAGCTCACCCAAAGTAAGATGCAATATTTTATGTATATTACCTGACGTTTTTCCTCCGGTAATGAAGCTTTTTCAATCCAGGAGATTGCAAGGTCCACATCGTTCAAAACAGTCCCAAGGAGTGTTACAGCATACATCTCAGCAACTTCAGAGTACTGATCAATTCCCAAAACGGAATGACCATCACATCCTTCAGTGGCATCCACTTTTTTTTCTGCATCAATAACGATGTAGTGTTTTTCATCTTCATAACTCCACTTACTAAGAAAATCCTCAAGAAATTCCCGAACACCAACATATGATTCTTCTGATATCTGAAGACAGGCACTGAAAACAAAAATTATAAGAGAAAATTAAAACACTGCCTCAGAAATATTTTATCACCTTTTTCCAATCAGGGTACATGCATGCACCCATACATAACAGATAATGAACAACTGTCTGACAGTTACATCCCATTAACGGCTCAAAATTTGATTAATTACCCCATGTTACAAGGATGCTAAGAGAGATTTGTGAAATCCAACATCAAATGAAGAAATCACTTTACTCCCAGGTAAGAAGACATTCCATAGTTATAACAATAGATATGCCATGTTTTCATTTTTATATTCTGAAGATAGGAAAAGTACATCCAGCAATACAATCAGTCATAACTTGGGTCACAGCTCCAAACCAAAGGACGTGATCAGCAGCAAAAGAAGAGACATTAAAAGAAAGTGATGATCAATGTTTATTGCTTTGTTCGTGATAATGATAGAATTGCAGTTTGGATACGTGAAAACTGATCAATGAGCTGATTTACAAAACCAGTGGTGAAGAGGAAAGTACAGAACAAAAATAAAATGCAACAATTGATGAAAAAGAAAAAGACAAATAGAGCAAAATAAATTTTGATGTTCCATTCATCAAAACCTTATAAACACAACAATCACTAGGCATTAATTTACTTGAAGTAATAATAATCAGTCCAGATCTCCTTAAAATAAGAGGAATAGGAATCTTTATTAACAAAATTTAACCTAAATTATAAGACCATATGAAGACTTAATAGCATAAACAGAATCAATTATAATCATCAAAGTATCATTAAGAGTGCACAATGAAAAATTTACAGTTCTGCGAATGCATTAAAAAAGCCTTTACCGCTAAATAATACTCAAAATTAAAAACAAATTTCATCACAAATTAACGATAATATAGTTTTTAAAACCCTTGAAAACATTGCATCTACACAGTTAAATCCCAAGTTGCCAAATTAAAATTACACAGCATTCTAAAAAAGAATCACAACACTTAAATCATTCATAACGGCATCAAGGCTCCTCTATTAACTTCTTTGTTGGGAGTAAAAAAGAAGTAATCAAAGAGTTTTCAGATTGGAACTTTCCTTTTTTGAAGCTAATAAGGCTTTTAAGGCCAATAGTTTGGATACAAATGGGTTGTTCTTTCCAAAGTTAAGAATTGTAGGTCTGTGTACAGGTTTATATTACAAGTTAGGATCATCCTTCTACCCAAAATCTTTCTCAACTTAACAGAAAAAATGAAACAAAGTAAATAATAGTTTTCCTCTTCCTACACACACACTCATGAAAAAAACTTGCAACACAATCAAAGTTTTTCCAAAACATATATGATAGTTTCAGTTAAAAAATCTAAAAGCGCTATTAAGTATCTCAAACTATTCGGTAAAAGAACAATTGCAAATTCAAAAAAAAAAAAAAATAATAATAATAATAATAATTAAAAAAAAAAAAAGAAATAACACGGATTCCCCCTCCTTCAAATCCCCATTTGCTGGGAAAGGTGTAACAGGAAAGAAGATAAAGCTACTTTAATGCGGATCAGTTTTATGCAAACAATCCTACTACAACATAATATTCAGTTTAGTCTTTTTAACAAAATACAATAACTTTATTGTCCTCCGGAACCAAAAAGGCCTTTGAAAAATCTAAAAAGCTGCACCAAAAGATGATTGAACATGGAAGCTTCAACTACATCAATGCAATTCTGACACCATTTCGCAAATTTCATATATCCCAACAAATAAATAACCACTTAAAAACCTAATAATGAAAAATATGACATGATAAATAAAAGGAAATAATACCCAGTGAGAAGAACTTGAACAGGGACATGAGTAACGGACACAAACAACTGCTTAAGCTCAGTCATAATATCCGACGCCCTGCATATATACAAATGAAAGCAACAAAATTGAGCAATTCACAGCAACAGATTGAAATTATTCAATATTCAAGTGGAAAGATGATACCTGCCAAGTTCCTTGAGGGACTGAACGAAGACCATGCCTGCAGATTCCATCATATCATATAAAGTTTGATTTGAAACATTATAATTGTCGCGCAATCGATTTAGAATTGATGAAGATAATGAAGCGGCCTCATCATACATAGAGGATACAAGGTAACTGCAGAACAAAACAGAGATAAAATCGAATTGCATTAAATTGAAAGTGAAAAAGACAATCTTTCAGTTGGGTTCGTGATCCATTACCTCTCAGATTGTTCAATTTCTTCCCAAATTGAATGGGGTGTGGGTGCGAATGTGCTCGCCTCGCCCATCTTTCTCCTGCTGTTACTTTCCTCCGGTCGAAAATGGATAAAATTAATTATTCTGTTTTTTGTATAATATATACGAACAAATTTACACAAATAACCATTTCATAATAAACTCAAAATCAACCTTATTTTATATTAAAAGACCAATAAACCCTCAACAACAGAAACTATTAACTATCGCATAATTTCGTTATTCCAAAAAAAAAATGTTAAATTTATATGAAACTAGATTATGGATTCTAAATTAAAAGCAATCCAATAAAAAACAAGTAATTTTTTATTTTAATAAAATCATATAAAATTGAATCTGGATTTTAATTAATTTATTTGACGTGACTTGTTAACACAATTATACAACATAGTGGTGATTTAGGGGTGAGCACGGGTAGCGGGTAGAACCGGAACCGGAACCGGAACCTACCCAGAACCTGCACTGTGCGGGTAGGTTCCAGTTCCAATTTTTTGGAACCGCTACTGTGCGGTTCTAGTTCCGATTCTTGCATGTGGAGGAACCGGAACCGGAACCTGTAAAAAGGGTACCCTGTTTGGAACCTGTAGGGGGTACCCGGTTTGGAACCTGTTTTGGAACCTGTTTTGGAACCTGTTTTGGAACCTATTTGGAACCTGCTTTAGAACCTGTTTTGGAACCTGTTTTAAAACCTGTTTTTAGAACTTGTTTAGAACCTATTTTTGAACCTGGACTATAATGAAATATTTGTGAAATGTAAATAATAGGAGAGTTTCTATTATTTTACATATAAAAAAATTTAAAATAGAAAAAGTTAAATTTTTAGAATAACCTAATTAAATAAATATACGAATACAATTATACTTATTACATATAAATTACACCATATTAAAAGCTTTAATATATTATAATACATTAATATTAAAGTTTTGATCAATTAAGTGAATAATTGGAATTATGATTCAAATTAAAAGTGTTTTATATTTTTAATGTTATTAAAAGAATTATTTTGAATAAAATGTATTTTGATTGAGTAATAATATATTTAGTTATTTACTCAATTATCAAGTTTTAGTATATCTATAATAAATTAGTAATTAATTAATATATATGATAATTGATAAACATAATAAAATTAATTACTAGTTAAATATCATACTTAATCAATTATAACATTACATTATAATTAAATGATTACTTAATTAATTATAATTTTATAACATTACTAATGATTTATAGTATAGTTAATTATAGCATTACATTAATTGATTACTACTTAATTAATTGACTTATAAGTTATAACATAATTAAATAGTTATAATTGATTTATAATAGAAATTTAATTAATTATAGCATTACGTTATAGATTTATAGTATAACTACTTAATCAATAATAACATTTTATATAAACATTAGTACAAACTTAATCAAATGATTAAAAATTAATTAATTATAATATTACATTAAAAAATTATAGTATGATTACTTAATAGTTAATTCACTATAACATTACATTATATAGATTATAAATTAATTATAACATTACATAATTAAATAATTACTTATTGATTATGTCATTTATTAAATATTAGTATAATAATTTACTACATAAACATTGTATAATACTTAATTAAATGATAAGAAATTTAATTAATCATAACATACCTTATAAACATTTCATTATAACATTAATTAAACATTACATTATAGTTAAATAATTACTCAATTAAATTATAATATTATTATATTACATTATATATTGATCACTTACTTAATTATAGCATTATATAGTTAAATGATATAATAATTAATTAATTGTATGAATTTATTACATTACATTATAAACATTAGTAATTTACTATATATTACATTACTTAATTTAATTAATTATAACATTACTTATATATTTATAATATGATTACTTAATCAATATAACATTCCATTATAAACATTAGTAATTAATCAAATGATTTGAAATTTAATAATTATAATATTAAATTATAGATTTATAGATAATTACTTAATTTATTATAACATTACATTATACTATTATAGTATGATCATATAATTAATATAACATTACATAATTAAATGATTACTTAATTATTATGAGTTATGTATTATGTTTTAAACATTAGTAATTACTAATTTACTACATAAACATAAACACAATACTTAATTAAATGATAGAAATTTAATTAATATAACATATCTTATAAACATTTCATATAAACATTAATTAAACATTACATTATAGTTAAATAATTACTCAATTAAATTATAATATTATTATATTACATTATATATATGATCAGTTATTAATTATAGCATTACTAATTAAATGATTACATAATTACTTAATTAGTTATGAATTTTAAACATTACATTATAATATTAGTAATTTACTATATTATTACATTACTAATTAAACGATTAAAAATTTAATTAATTATAACATTATTATATATTATAATATAATTACTTAATCAATTATAACATTCCATTATAAATATTAGTATATTAATCGATTTGAAATTTAATTAATTATAATATTAATTATAGATTTATAGTATGATTACTTAATCTTATAATATACATTATACTATTATGTATGATCATATAATTAATATAACATTACATAATTAATGATACTTAATTGATTATGAGTTATGATATTATGTTTTAAACATTAGTAATTACTAATTTACTACATAAACATTGACACCTATTTATAAATGATAAGAAATATTAATATAAACATTACCTTATAAACATTAATTAAGCATTACATTATAGTTAAATAATACTCAATAAATTATAATATTATATATACATTATATATTATGATCACTTACTTAATTATAGCATTACATTAATTGATTACTAACCAACAACTAATCCATTTTTTTATAATTTCTTCAAATATTTTAAATGTTTTAAATGTTGATCTATTGATTCTGAATAAACTAAGACATCGTCAATATATACTATTGTAAAGTGTTATAGGATTAAATATCATTCATAGTTTTGAAATTCTGATGGGGCATTTTAATCGAAAGGCATAACGTTCCATTCATATTGACCAAAAGGAACATTAAATGCCGTTTTGTATCTATCTAATTCATCTATTTGAACTTGCCAAAACCCTGATTTCATATCAAATTTTGAAAATATTGTGCATTATATAGTCTATTAATTAAATCTTTTTGTTGGGAATGTGAATCTAACCATTGTAATACTTGTTTAATGGTTTATAATTAATGACTAATCTTGGAACTCCTCGTTCTTTTTCGCGCCATTATTGACATGGAAGGCAGAACACTCCATGGAGATTACTTGGTCAATTAATTTTTTATCTTGTAAATCTTTGATTTCTTTATGACAATGTTGAGTAATTTCTTATTCATCTGTATGGTCTAGCTTTTTTGGATATTTTCTCATCAAAGTTTTTAAATAGGGAAGACAGACTACATGTTGTTTTCTATCCCAAAAGGCATTTGGAATTGTTGAGCTATGTCTTGTGAAATAGTTTTTCTAAATCTTAAAATTTCTGAATTTTTGGAGTTTCTAATTTTGTTTATCCTTTCATGTTTCAATTCTTCTTTTAAGAAAGAATTTGTCTTTTCTTATAGTTAATGAGATTTATTTTTGATATTGATAAGTCTTTTAATTTATAATATTTTTATTAGTGGAGGATTAACAAATTCAAATGTTACTTCTTATCCTAAAATATTGGTGTATCCTTTATTGGTTACACTAAAAGGGTAAATTTGAGTGATAAAAGGTGTATCTAATATAACGTCTTGATATAACTTTTGCTAAAATAAAGGTGCTTTTAATGCAAAAATTTTGTATACAATATGAGATTAGATAATTTATAATTAATGTTTAATTGTTGACCATTTGCTCCATATAATCTTTCTTTTGTCTTTTCATAATATTTGTTGGAATTAATCCTTCTCTTATACAGTTTTGATCTGCTCCAGTGTCTACTAAGGTGTGTAATATATCTAATTCGTGATAATATTGACCTAATGTAAACATGCCATTTTTGAAATTGAATTCTTGAGATTTCATTAATAATGTTCTTAGTTTCTTTAATCTGTAATCCTGAGGTTGATGGTTGTCCTATGGTTTCTTTTGAGGCTTTTAAACATAATAAAATGTTTTGATTTCAATATTATCATTTTGTAATCTTTAACTGATTTTTCAGAATATTGATTTCTTCTTGTAATAACTTAAAGTAACTGTGTGGGTTTGTCAAATCTTTTTAATATGTCTTTTAAGTTATAAGAACACATTTTTTGTTTTTCTTCAGATAAAATTAATTCTTTGAGTTTTAAAATATTCTCTTTTAATGTCTTCATCCTGAATTTTGTCAATAATATCTAATAAAAATTCTTTTGATTTGGTGATAACGTTTATGATTTAGGTCTAGATGTTGATATCATATTTATTGATTTCATTTGGTCACTATTATTGCAATTTGTAAAGACTGGCTCTTAATATCTAGAGGGTTCCTTCTAAGGAATTATTGAAGTTTTTGTCAAAGTTATTGTCAAGATTGTTTTGACTTAGGCTTATTAATTGAGGGATAAAATGTCGTTGAGGTGGTAGTAGTTCAAAGGGTACTTTTGGTGTGAGATTATGTTTGGATTTTAATGTTAAGTTTTTACTTTGTTTTTAGTGGGACAATTAAAAGCATCGTGTCCTACTTGTTTACATTTCCAACATTTTTTTATTTTTTTATCTTTATATAAATAAGAAAGTTTTCTTTTCAATACCTTGTTCTTTGATTGGGTTGATTTTGAAAGGACAATGTTTGATTTAGAGGATGCTAATCACCTAAGTTTTTAATAAATTTTCTAGAATATGTGTGTGATTATAAATTTAATAATTCTCTTTTGGAATGTCAAAGGGTTCAAAAATGGTTTAACATATTTTTGTGAATAAAGGGGTTGTGAAGTGATGTTGAATTTCCTAAAGTGGTGAATTTGTTGGATTTTCTACTATCTCCTTTCCGGGGGTTTTTGAAATTTTTGTAATTATGTGGGTAGTATTATTTCTATCCTATTCATTTGT